AAAGAGACATCTGCTCTCCAAGTCCCCAGAGCCTCAGGGTGACTCTTGATGGTTTCTGTATTTTTTTTTTTTAAATTTTACCTTAAGTTCTGGGGTACATGGGCAGATCTTGCAGGATTGTCACACAGGTATACACAAGTCATGGTGGTTTGCTGCCTCCATCCCCTTGTCACCTACATTAGGTATTCCTCCTAATGTTATCCCTCCCCAATCTCCCCACCCCCTGCTATCCCTCCCCTAGCTGCCCACCGCCCAACAGACCCCAGTAGTTGATGTTCCCTTCCCTGTGTCCATGTGTTCTCATTGTTCAACACCCACTTATGAGTGAGTACGTGTGGTGTTTGGTTTTCTGTTCATATGTCAGTTTTCTGAAAATTATCATTTCCAGATTCATCCATTTCCCTGCAAAGGACGTGAATTCATCCTTTTTATGACTGCATAGTATTCCATGGTGTATATGTGCCACATTTTCTTTATGAAGTCTATCATTGATGGGCATTTGGGTTGGTTCCAAGTCTTTGCTATTGTAAACAGTGCTGCAGTGAACATACATGTGCATGTGTCTTTATAATAGAACGATTTACAATCCTTTGAGTATACACCCAGTAATGTGATTGCTGAGTCAAGTGGCACTCTATTTCTAAACCCTTGAGGAATCGCCACACTGTCTTCCATAATGGTTGAACTAATTTACCCTCCCACCAACAGTGTAAAAGTGTTCCTTTTTCTCCACATCCTCTCCAGTATCTGTTGTCTCCAGATTTTTTAATAATCACCATTCTAACTTGCATGAGATGGTATCTCAATGTGGTTTTGATTTGCATTTTTCTAATGACCAAAGATGATGAGTATTTTGTCATATGTTCGTTGGTCACATAAATGTCTCTTTTGAAAAGTGTCTGTTCATATCCTTTGCCCACTTTTTGATGGGGTTGTCTGTTTTTTTCTTTATATTTGTTTTAGTTTTTTGCAGATTCTGGATATTAGCCCTTTGTCAGAAGGGTAGCTTGCAAAAATTTTTTCCCATTCTGTTGGTTGCTGGTTCACTCTAATGATTGTTACTTTGCTGTGCAGAAGCTCTTAAGTTTAATTAGGTTCCATTTGTCTATTTGGACTTTTGGTGCCATTGCTTCTGGTGTTTTAGTCATGAAGTCCTTGCCTATGCCTATGTCCAACCTAGGTATTGCCTAGGTTTTCTTCTAGGGTTTTTATGGTGTTAGGTTTTATGTTTAAAACTTTAATCCATCTGGAATTAATTTTTGTATAAGATCTAAGGAAGGGGTCAAATTTCAGCTTTCTGCACATGGTTAGTCAGTTTTCCCAATACCATTTATTAAACAGGGAAACCTTTTCCCATTGCTTGTTTTTGTCAGGTTTGTCAAAGATCAGATGGTTGTAGGTGTGTGGCGGTTTCTATATTTTCTTATACTAACCTTGCCTCTCCGACTTTCTTGAGTCCTGTAGCCTTGAGAATTTTTGAAACCTTTATCTAAAGCAATGATTGTCAACTATGTTCTGGGTAGAAACACTATTTTTCTTTAAAGTGGACAAGTTTTCATTAACGTGGTCCATTGACAGTATTTTCCAGATCTTCACAGCCATGCACAAGGACACGCATGTGCTCATGTTAAGCAAAGCTTATTGATGAGTTTTCTAAACATTTTCTCCAATACTGTTCTTTAAAGTCTTAAGCGTGTCTATACTAGAATCTGAAGTCAGCATCAGATTGAGCTCACATTTACATCTTTGGTTTTTTTAATACATCGAAGGCATTTATCTTTCACAGTTCTCCTCCAGGTGTTTTGCCACCTGAATGCTTCTGAGATGCACTTGGCCAAAAGTTCTGGTTCAAAAGAATAAAAAACTCTTCTAGGCCCTGAGGGAAACATCTTTTGACAATTCCTCTTCTCCATTCTCCCTTGATGAGTTCAGGAGATGGTAAAGAGACACATAGGAAAAACCTGCCTCTTCTTTTAAAACAAAACAAAATAAAACAAGGTCGTAAAATAGTAGACAGGGAAGGTATTTGCCTCAGTAGCAAACTCAGCTACTTGAGGAATTTCATTTACCAGAGGACACGATGTTTTCTCAAATATTCTGTAGTGATTATCTGGCAAAATCTCAAAACATTTTTTAACACAAGCTGTCTTTGGTCAATAAATACCAGAACTGAAATGTCCTGGGGGTGGAGATTTATGATCTAAGCGCAACAAACACTCCCATAAATCAGGCAGAGAAAGCTCTCAGGTAGCCGAGCAGGCATTATGCAGATCTCAACAGAGGCCAGGGAAGGAAGTCCGTGGGGTCCTGGCAGGGCTGAGCACACATCAGCCTGTGGGAGGAAGGGATGGGCTTTCTTCATCCACAAAGGAATGAACACTTTGGCTTTGCACTGTTGAGTTTCTCTTTTTCTAATCATTGGAAATTTTCCCTTTTCCATTGCTCACAGACATTTGCAAAGACAGGTGTGTTGTGAAGTACCTGGGGAACCAGGTTGAAATCATGGCTGGAACACCGGGCTGTGTGAGCTTGGGAAAGTCCCCTAAATGCTCTAGCATTTTGCATCCATCTCTGAAAAGTGAGGATAATAATACCCACCACACACGACTGTTAGGATTAAATCAGATAATGATGAGAAATGCTTAGCACAGTGCCTTGCAAAGTTTCACTTATAGATAACATTTATTAAAGTGCCTGGTCATGTAGGTCTTCTATAAATTACCATTAACTCTTTCCAATATACGAAATTCAGGGAAATGTAGATGATGCTCTCTAATAAATAGTAGCTTCGTCAAGACGCAAAACTTGACTAAAGTGTTTTGTGGTTTATCTTGATATGGAGTCCAGTTCTGATAATCGGGTTTCTCTTGGGTCCCAAGATCTAGTCTCACCTTGAATTTGGTTTGTTCACTCTCTGTTCCCTCCCAGGATTGTTCTCGGTCTCTGACTTTTTCAACTCTGAGTCTATGCTCTCTTCTCCTCCCTCCCCTGACCTCCTCTCCCCTGCTTTCCTCTTTCCTCTCCTCCCCTTCTTTTCCTTTCCCCTCCATTCCTCTCTGCAGTTTAGTCTTCACTCCCTCCTTATCTCATGTGCTTCCACTACTGTCTATATATCCTGATGGCTCCAGCTGACCTGTAGCTCCTCCCAGACTTCTCTTCTATGATCTCAGGTACCCCTGTCTAGACAGCTCTTCCACCTGACATTTCCACCAGGATGTGTCACAGGGGTCTCAAATGCAACATTTCCCACACATACCTCTGGATCCTTCTTTACCGTTCTCACAGTCTTGTCCAGCATCTCCCATGTGCGGGGCTTCTGTAGGATTTGGAGGAGGCAGCAGTGAGAGGTCAGCAGTTCCTGATCTGGACTTGGTGACACTCACACCTGGCCCACCCCTGCACTTCTCATCTGGGCAAACGTCCCAAGTGACATACCTGTGGCCCAGGTTAAATACAGTATCTGAGAGGCCACGTTGATGCCTTCCTCTGCTGCATACAAGCCTCTCCCACGTCCTGTGGACTTTACTTCCTAGCTACCCTCCATGTCTGTTTTTTCTGCCTGTTTCTACTGCCCCATCCTATTTAAAACCACTCTCATCTGTCACCCAGGTGACTGTGGCAAGCAGCCTTTCACTGGAATGATGCATTTCCCCAGCCACATCCCACAAAGTACAGACAATAACTAAATATACAAGCCCGATCTTGTGATCCCCCTGCTTAAAACTCCTGTGGCTCCCCACGGACTTTGGCATAGAATCCAATGTCTTAACCAGCTTCCAAGGCGCCGTCCACTCAGACCCCTGCCTCCATCCCTGGTATGTCTGCAGCTTTCCTTCCTGCCCTTTCCTTACTAGACTTTTTTTTTAATTTTTTTGGAGATGGAGTCTTGCTCTGTTGCCCAGGCTGGATTACAGTGGCATGATCTCAGCTCAATGCAACCTCCGTCTCCAGGATTCAAGCAATTCTCCCTGCCTCAGCCTCCTGAGTAGCTGGGAGTACAGGTGCCACCACACCCAGTTAATTTTTGTATTTTTAGTAGAGATGTGGTTTCGCCATGTTGACCAGGCTGGTTTTGAACTCCTGACCTCAGATGATCTGCCTGCCTCGACCTCCCAAAGTGCTAGGATTACAGGTGTGTGCCATCACACCTGGACAACTTTATGTTCTTTCAGGTTCTCCAACATACTGTGATCTCCTTGGCTTCCAAGCCTGTACTAGACCAGACTCCCTGCTGCCTGGAAGACTCTCCCTTGACTGTTCCCAATTCCTGGCTCAGGACTCAGCAGAAATGAGACCTTCTCATAGATGATTCCTTGACTTCCTAGCCTTGATACATCCCTTCGTTCTATACTTTCACATCATCCCCACTCTTTCTTAGGAGTTCCTTAGACACTTGCGATTGTTTAATGAGCTCTAGGATGCAGTGGAGCCCCAAGACAATGCGTCTTCACATGTGCCCCAAATCATTTGGGCAGCAAGCCTTAGAAAAATGCACAGCTGGGCGATCCAGAGGTGACGTCTGGAATTTTATATTTTTAACAAGTTCCACAAGTGCCTGTAAGCACAGCAAACTCAGAGAGCTGTTGCCATGAGTGCTTGGCCCACAGGGCAGGGTTTATATCTTCTCTGGACTCAGGGGTGCTGCAGGAGGGAAAGCCTGCACCCAGCGTGAGCTCTCAGAACATCCTGGGAAGCCTCTGTGCCTTCAGATTCTCTGCTATTACTGCATGGTTCGGACTTCCGGCTGTCTCATGATCACTCAACAAACACATATTTCATGAAATGTGAAGAGTTTTCTGGATGTGTCAGCACAAGCGTCCTTCTTCCTTCCTATCCTGGGGGGGTCTGCCACTTCGATTTCTTTGCTTGGGCATTCTTCTGACACATGCATAAGCCTCACTGACAAGAATAGCCCCCTCTCCAAAGTTATGGGTCTGGAGGAGGCAAATGGAAAAGACCAGCCTTTCTCTCTGTGAAATCTGACTTGCTTTCAAGAATAGTTACATCTGTGACATCTCTTCTACTGTTCCTTTGAACGGCTGCCTAAACCTTGGTTTAGCACAAAATGTAGAGATGGTCAAAGCAGGCATTATTTGGTGATGATATGATCCTGGAGAAGTTTCTTCACTTCTCTGGCATTCTGATTTCTCTTCTGTACAGAAACAGGTAGAACACTCACCTGAAAGGGATTGAAATGTGTGACGGTGCTGGACACAGAGAAGCTTCTCATGGATGTTCCCTGCCCTCCCCGCCTCCCTCTCTGCCAAATGCACGTCACCTCCAGCAACCGTAGGGGCCAGCTCCTCTCTGACAGTGACCTCACTCCTGCCCCCAGGTACATGCTGCTGTCATCTTTACCAGGCAGAAACACTCCTGGTGATGGTAAATTGCTCTATCAAATGCTTTTCTCATTTTATCCTCTCTTGAAGATTGAAAGGACATGCAGCTTCGTTTTCCATAGAGGAAATCTACAAACATAGAATTGTCCATTTTTTTTTCTATGATCAGTGATTTATCAGGATTCAGGTCGTGACTCTACTCCTTACTAGCTGTGTGATGAGGGACAAGGACCCCGATGACATTCCTGCAAACGTCAATCATGGTGCCAGGTGCTGGTTGGCATATTTGGCTGACTCTTCCCCTTTCCCTTGCTTTGCCATTATGGTCTTGATTTTACAGGGGAGGAAACAGGGGCTGGGTGGAGTAAGCCTGTTGTCCAAACCTCCCCTCCTGGGAAATGACTGTGCGACAGCAGAGTTGACAAATCACTGTCACTCTCCACCACAATTGTTGCCTTTCTAAGCCATAGTTAGAGTTAGCCCCATGTGGCAATACAGTGAAATTTTAATAGGCAAGGCAATGCATGGGAAATGCTTACCACGGCCTCTGGCCTTGGTGAGTGTCAGGGCATGCTGCTTGTTATGTCTTAGGCTCTGCAGGGGCTGTGAACTTGACTGGACATTTCCCTTCACCAAGGTGGTCCACTGGCAAAAGTGTGAACATCAGCTTTGTCCCCTGCTTGTGTGGCCTGGCAGCGTCTCTCGTGGCCTCCAGCCTTGCCCTAGGCTCTTTCCGATGCACCCAATCCTACCGGAAGCAATTGATTCCAGTGGCTCCCACATCTGGTCATGGGCCTTGGATGCTTGCCTCATGCCCTAGTTAAAAAAGGTGTGAAGGGGGTGCTCAGTGATGGGCTAGTTTTGGGCTGGGCCCCCCAGCCTGTTGTGGGCACTGTGGAGGGAGCAGTTCCTCCAGGGGCCCCTCACCTGCAGCATCTCCCGACCAGCCCCTAGCTTGTGCAGCCTCCTTGCACGATGGGCTCTCTATCTTTCTTCTCCATCTCAGCCTGGGCCCTCCCTGCTCACCACATGGGGTAATTTGGCAGCCTTCTGAATGGCTCCCTATATCCAGGCAGCACATGACAGCCAGTGGTCAAATCCAGCCCTTAGACTATTTTCATAGCCCTGAAGCTAAGAATATTTCTACATTTCTAAAGAGTTGTTAAAAACCAAGCACATGACAAAAATAAAGAAGAATATGCAACAATGACCACAAAGCCCTTTACAGACACTGTTTGCAGACACTGTTTGCAGATGCCTGCTCTAGACTGTTCTTCACATTGACCTTCTCGCCCAGCCCCAAGGTCTCACCCCGACCCCACTCAAGATCTCACATCCTGTATCTGCACTATTTAAAAATCTTTAAACCACTCTATGTGCAAAAAAAGGCACCCTGGAGGTAGTTTAAGAAGATCTGGATTCAAATTCCAACTCTCATACTTATTAGCTGTATGACCCTCTTGAACCTCAGTCTCTTCCTCTGTGCAATAGAGTAACAGGGCAAAACCAGAAGGTTATTTGGGGACCTGATGAGTTTGAGGTGTGAAAATGCACTCCAAGCCACACAGAGCTATTCAAAATATGAAATTTCATCATAACTGTTTTGTCCATGGGGAGTGTCCACACCCCAGAGCCTGCTTAGACTCTCTCTAGCTGAGACCCAGTTTGCTTTCCAACCTCATTCCTTGTGACTTTCCACATGACATCCCACCCCACATGCCACATGGCTTTGGTCTCACCCCGCCTTGGTTGAAATGCCCTTCCTAGTTCCCTCTTGCATTTGAGCCCTACCTGGTCTTCAGAGTTCATGCCCAGCTCAGTGGCAGGTGCCTCTGATGTATGGATCCTGGAATCTACATGGGGACCTTTGGAGACGTGGAGATGGGAGGAGTCTTCAGCACTCAGAGCACTTGTTTTCCAGCCCGAGACGGCATTAACCATTTCAATCTGTGCGCTGGTCTTAAATCTTCTCCTCCCTCTCTTTTCTTTCTCTTCTGTTTCTTTCCAACACTCCAACATGAAACAGTGCCTGCTGTGCAGTAAAAATATTTTGGCTGCCTCCCTTTTAAAAGTGTTCTAAAAATACACAGAGACATCCGCATGCACACATGGCAGGCTCTGACGATTGCCTTCCAGGTGACGGAAACAAACCCTGAGCTCGTGCTCCGCTTTGGGACCAGCGTGGGCCACTCCTGACCCCACCTTCCAGATGGGCACCTAGTTAAGAGGCAGCAGCATTTGCTATGGAGCAAAAGTTTGCTGTCTTTGCTGAGCATTCTCAATGCTACAGAACTCTCAACTATTTGTAGAAATTGGAAGAAGCAAGGTGATGTAAATAAAGGTAGAATATGATTCACGCTCTTCTTTTGTGTTTTAAGATCTGCTCAAGAACATAAAAAATTTTGAAACTCTTGCCTTTTTTCAACCCTAGGATTCTTGCCTGAACTTGAATAAACTTGTGTTTCACCAAAAGAAAGGCATCGTGGGGTCCTGCAAAATCATTAGGTGAGGAGCCAGCACGATGAGGTTCTCATTGTCACCTGCCACCACCTCTAACAAGTCCTAGGTTGTCTCTGAACCTCAGTCTCTTTACCCCAAATTTAGGGGTTTTAATTAAGTGACCCATTAGATGACATCTAGCTGTAAAAGTCTGTGGTAGAACAGCTAGAATTATTAGTATGATTTAAGGCATAATATTGGTTTAGAAACAGCATTTCTTTTACCACTGATAGTTATAACTTTGCAGGATAATGCCTAAAGTTCTCATTCCATAGACTCTTTTTTGGGGGCTTTTTTTTTTTTTTGAAATGGAGTCTCGCTCTGTCACCCAGGCTGGACTGCAGTGGTATGATCTTGGCTCACTGCAACCTCTGCCCCGGGTTTCACTTAGCTTTGTGTCTCAGCCTCCCAAGTAGCTGGGATTACAGGCATGCACCACCATGCACAGCTATTTTTTGGCATTTTTAGTAGAGATGGGGTTTCACTATATTGGCCAGGCTGGTCTCAAATTCTTGGCCTGAAGTGATCCACCCACCTCCCCAAGTGCTAAGATTACAGGCATGAGCCACCACGCCCAGCTGACTCCTTCTAAATCAAGTTATTATTATTACTATTAGATACAGTGTCTGGCTCTGTCACCCAGGTTGGAGTATAGTGGCACAATCTTGTCTCATTGCAACCTCTGCCACTTGGGCTCAAGTGGTCCTCCCACGTCAGCCTTTCGAGTAGGTGGGATTATAGGTGTATGCCACCACGCCAGGCTAATTTTTGAATTTTTTCATAGAGAAAGCATTTTGCCCTGTTTCCCAGGCTGGTCTCAAACTCCTGAGCTTAAGGGATCCTTCTGCCTCCGCCTCCCAAAGTGCTGGGATTACAGGCATGACCCCGGCTGTCCGGCCACATTCAATAGACTCTTGGGGTGGATACTGTGGCTACAGCAAAAGGAAATGTGTATTTATTTATTCAGTGGCCAAATATTTATGACCTGCCATTGTGATTGGCATCATTCTCATTTTATAGAAGATAACACTAAAGCTAAGTGAAGTTGGAATTAACATTCATACTCACATCTATAATATGTGCTCATTCTACTTAGCTTATTTTAGGGCCCTAATCTCAATAGGCATTCCCATAGTAGGCTTTCAACTTATTGATTCTTAGGCCATTCCTAAATGTAAAACAAGTTCTTATTTATGAAGCATTATTAAATAAAGTAAGCTATTAGGTTAGTGCAAAAGTGGTTGCGGTTTTTGCCATTAAAATGCCGTGGCAAAAACCGCAAACACTTTTGCACCATCCTAATATTTTGGATTGCAATTGTTTCAGTATACCACTTCATATGATATTTAGGGACCATCTTTGAGTGAGGTCTATCGCTTGTATTGTGCCCCAGTAAAGCCCCATTTAAAGCTCTTCTGAAATTCAGTCTTTCAGAAAATCAGGACTCTTTAATAAGTCCCTGATTTGCTCACTCTTGCACATCATTAGTCACTGTATTATAGAGGCTTTCACGATCAAGGTGTTTTGGAAATATGACTGAACAAAGTAAGGTTAGTGCCTTTATAGCAGGGCCTCCTGCATCCTGTAATGCATGGTTATATAAGTGGAATCTCCACGAGGGTGTTACCATTTGCTACTTTTTCTAAAGTTCTTTTACTCTAGAAAGTACTGTCATGGAGCATCTAATAGCACTGGTATTCATGGAAATTTGTGTTGCCCTCAGTTAATCTTAATTTCTCTCATTGACACTGAATCTGTGGGGGTTTGCTGCAATGTAAAAAGGAATAATAACTATTTGTTATATTTTAGACACTTTATGGATCCCAAAGCATTTATCTCACATGGTTCTTAAAGCCATCTTGAGAGATGGATATGATTATTCCATTGTATTCACAAAGCAGTGAGAATTTTAGTTTAAAATGATGCACCCAATAAATACGACAACTTTTCCCCACTTCTCTGAACACATAAGGAGGAGGGGAATAATATTGATAAGCCATACTAAATACATAGCAATGCCCCAAAACCAGAATGGGCAATCTACAGATGCCAGAAAAAGAAATAGTTCCTGAAAAGGAGGATACTTGGGGTGGTTACTAGGGGCTGAATCACTGGGGTGCAAGAGGGTGCTGGGAAAAGAGCTCAGAGCGATGCACAAGGCTGGGCTGAGGGTTTCAGGTCCTAGGAGGGGCTGGGGACCACAACTGGCAATCTAGGTGTGGCAAAGGACTGCAAACCTGCAGTGGGGACTGGAAATCTACCCCCACTCATTTCTAGAGCCTGCACTGCTCTGTGTCTGCCTACCCAGTGGCTGAAGCCCTGGTCTTGGAACTTGTGATGTGCCTTCTCCATTGGGCACGGTCTGGAGCCACCACAAGAGTAGGAGCTGTCTGGAAATAAGTCCAGCGTGTGACATTGGGGCTGAACTGAGACAGCTGCAGAGCTCATGTATAGAACTTTGATAATGCATCTTGGGGGTTGCTGGAATTCAAAGACAAGAAATCACTCAGGGTGGTGACGGCCTCACAACCAAGAATCACACAACCCTGGAGGAAGACAGAGCCCATGTGAGACAAAAACACAGAACAGAGGAATACATACCCAGCAAAAAGAAGAGAACTTAGAGAATTCGAAAAGAAATGTGAAACAGTTTTTAATATCCTGAAAGAAAGGAGAGGAAGCAGCCATGACAGGAGGAAAGAAGGCTCTGGAGGGAAAGAAGTCTTGAAATAATAACAAGAAGTTTGAGAAAGCAATGATAAATTCCATATATACAAATACATTTTTGAAAATCACAGAAGCACCTTAAAAGATGTGCTGAACAGATGAAATCTTCAAGACCGTAGCAGTACAAAGAGAAAACACACTAGAAAAGTTAGGAGACATGGAAGATGGGTAGCCCTGTGACACAAGTTTAGTGGGGTTTCCAGGGAAAGCAAATGAATAGAAGAGAGCACAAGAGACCTCTACAAATGTGTTGTGTGGATATTCCAAGAACTAATTGATATCATCTAGAAAAACCTCCAAACAAAAAGAGTAAAAAGAAAATCCTACAAGCTATGAGAGAAGATTAAAACAAACATACACATACACACACACACACACACACACACACACACACACACACACACACATTTCCTGTAAAGGAAGGAAAATGAACATTGGCATCATATTTTTTATCAGACATATTAGATGCCAGGAGACTAATTAAGTAATATATTCAAAGAGAAAACAGTTTTCTGTCATAAATACTTTACTCGTTCCAGGTAGTTTTCAAGAATATGTATAATATAAAATAAAGAAATTTAAGAATATAGACAAACCAGCCTGTTGACCACAGACCCTTTCTGGAAGAACAATACAACCTAGATCCATTGTCAAACCATGGCCCATGGGCCAAATCCAGTCACCACCCATTTTTGTATGGCCTGTGGGTT